CAAACACACAACCACAACCACAACTACAAACACACAATCACAAACACAATCACAAGCACACAACCACACACAATCACAAACACACAACCACAGACACAATCACACACACAACCACAGACACAATCACACACACAACCACAAACACACAACCACAAACACAACCACGAACACAACCACAAACACACAACCACAAACACGCAACCACAAACACAATCACGAATCACAAACACGCAATCACAAACACACACACACAACCACAAACACACAACCACAAGCACAACACACAACCACAGCACACAACCCGAGGACCCACAACCAAAATCGAGAACTACAATACTCACGACCATGGCAACATGCTCCTCACTATGGCATCAAGACAAATGATTGAAATGTCACGGTGGGGATCACTCGAAGTAAAGTAATTTGTTTCATGCGATGTTGTTTGCCGAGTTGATTTATGCAATTGCTTTTCAGCCTTCCGTATGACATGCTGTCTCATCTCGGCTCTGCAGTCATTGCTTTTAGCTTGAGCAAGTCATCAGAATCTGCCAGAATTCACGCGCGGACAGCCCTTACTTTTACTCGTATGACGCATGACCATTTAATTTACCCAGCCGCCGCACAGGTTGAAACTGAACACCCAGAGAGTTAATGCAGGCGCTTTTCCCACTTCCACACCATGGCGGGCGACAACAACACAAGATCCCGACAAAAAGAAATTCCCTCCACCTTACTTCATGTTCTGAACGAGCTGATCATGGCCGAAGGTTTTGACCAGAGCAAACCCTTCGTGATTGAACTGGATTTACGCAAAGGCTCTTTGAATGGCCGGCGTTGAGGAACTTGTATAAACGCAAAAAAAACCTTGACGCCGCCAGCTCGCATGAAACACAGTCGTGTTTGCCTATTTGTTCTTTGCTTTTCATCCAAATCATGCCATGGCGCTTGACTTTGCATCAGACTCTTTGCCAGAGGTGCCTTGCTGGGTGATTCGCATGCGAGCATGCATGAATATTGATGCGTGATGGCTTGGTGATTTGGTTCTGATACAATGAGCATAGGTCCTTGAATGTTGAAATCATCAATGATCAACCACACGATATTAGTCTATATTACAAACTTAGAGGTTGTTAGAATGTTTTGGCGTCCTTTACAGTGGCTTTCGGCTGATTTGCAAACTGTTGTTGAGGACTACTTGCAGCTCCACATCCAGATGCTCAGGGTTGAAATGGGTTGGTTCACCAGGTTAAAACTCAGGAGATATCATCTCGCCAAAGTGAGGAAGTCCATAGAGTTTGCATTGCATACCTCTAAAAACCCGCTTCTACATTGCTGTGGCTCTCATTGGCAGGGGATGGACACCTTTGAGTGGGAACCCTTACCCACCTTGAGCGACGATGAGAACAGCTATGACCTCAGTCAAAGCATCGACCTCCCCTGGCAAGCCTCCCCTTGAAAGTTCCAGACGGCTGAAGTGGTCCTTTCACACCATATCACCAATACGCTCTCCGTCCAGACGGCTGGAGTGTGTATGTTTCCTGCCGGGACTTGCTGCCGTGGCTCCACTCAGATGTTTGTGGGTCAATGTGATGGGCCCTTGCACTGGGCAACCTGACAAAGTGCTGGTAAGGGAGCTGACATGTTCATATTCATGTTTGTATTGATTTGTAAAGGACATACCAGAGCCATATGTCCTAGAAAGGACATTATGGCATGACCAAGGAATCCAAGCCACACCGAAGCATTGCTTCCCACTATCGGCTAGGCAGCACAAGTCCAACCAAATCGGGAGAAGAGCGATTGATGGCGATTGGGTGAAGTGTTCCAAACATATGTTGAGCATTTGTTCAGCTGAGGCCTGGACCTTGCCTTGCTGTTAGCACGCTCGATGGCCCAGCTGGTGCGGTTTTGGTTCAATGCATGGGTGCCAGTCGTTTCCTTGCACACTCCTTGGGCTTTGTCCAGAAGTGTGTGATTTGCACAAGAGTGAACCCTGTCACCACTGCCAAACATGTGCTTTCTAGCTTGTCACTTTCCTGAGGCAACTCGCAGTGCAAGGCTGGCAGCATGGGTTGTTTGGTGGTGCAGAAAGGCCAAGTCATCGCATGCCAACAGCTGAGTTCATGGATTGTGAGAGATTCAGAAGTACGCCATGTGAAGATTCATTCATTCATAATGATTCCTGTAGCTGCTGTGGCTGCTATCATTTCACGAACATGCCTGCCAAAACTTGAACCCTGCTAAGAGGTGCTAAGAGGAGCTTGAAGAATTGCGGAGGTTATCCAAGTTGCATCAATTTGCCGAAATGCCATCGGAGTTCTGCTGGCTGACTTGTAAATGTGAGCTGCATGCAAGAAAGAGTTGCCCGTTGCAAACACAGTCGCAGCGGTCTCAACCTCCTGTCACTCGAGGTCATGTAAACGGCCCCATGTGGGAGATGAATTCAAGGCGGCTACCAGGAGATTTCAAACATCAAGACTCAGAGCATGAATGAAGAGAGTTCAATGAATCGTCTCTAGGTGTAGATTGGATGGCCAGCGTTTTTGTGTTTTGCTTGACTCCGATAAACGTTATATAGGCTATAAGCCTGGCCGAAATACGCAGGGTGTTTGACTCTCAGACCATATCAATACTTGCACAGAATTGGCAACTAAGTGAGACACCTGAATTTCCGCTGTCCCTAGCCTCCTAGATGTTCCGAGCGTCTTCTTCTTTCCTCAATGGCTTGATTCAGAGTGGGGAAACCGTTGCCAGGCGTCCAGCCTCAGATTTGCATGCGGAGGTGCAGGCCATCGGCCGCTGTGCCCAGCTGGGGCACGGAGCCCAGGGAATTCAAAGGACAAGCTTGGTGGCTTAGTATCCCCTGTTGGGCTTATGTTCGCTTGTATATTGACCTAATAATTAGGTGGAGGCCATCGCTAATAGGTTGGAGGCCATTACTAGTAACAAGAAGCTACTAGTAGCTAGAAGCTAGTAGAAAAGAGACCTAAGCTTCAAGCGACATGAAGTCAAATTGTTGAAAATGGGGTCTTGGTCCTCTCCAAGGCGCTCTACAGCAGGCGCCACAGTCTACGTTGCTCGGCATAAGTAGACATCGTATTTGGAGGATGGGGGCGGCGCTTCCTTCTTGGGCTTTTGTTTTTGTTCTTGGTGGGAAGGGAAGGAAGGAAGGAAGGAAGGGCATATTTTGGTACGTAGTCTGCAAGGAGTTTCGGCTGACAGCCGCGCGCAAGAAAAGGCGGATGTCTTTATGCCCGGGCTTGGCTTGACTGGAGTGGTCCACGCCAGGAAGGAAGGAAGGAAGATGGTTGTTTTGTCGTGGCATCCATTTTCTCGATGCCTCCGTTCTTGTCAGGTGACCATGCCGCCCTGCCGGCGCTGCTTCATGCTCCTTGCAGCCTCAGGGGTGAAGCGCATCGTCACACGGAAGGCCATGCTCGGACAAGATGCCAAGGACAGAGAGAAGTCATGACAGGCACGAACACAGTTCAAGCGGTTTGCTTATAAATAAATGTCTGAAAGTTTCAATGGAGAGATTTGCAAGAGTTCCTTCCGCATTTTTTCTATCCGGACATGCCATGCCTTGCCAAGTATCACGGGAGCGAAATTGAGGACATTGAGCCCGCAGCAAGACGTTTGGAGATCGCTTTTGAAGAAACTTGGCAATAAAGGGCCTTTGAATGTACTAGCCATACAGCTAAGCGCAAATGTTGTTGCGCTATGATGAACGTCGCCCAGTTGTCTCCTTCAAACCGGATGTATTTTCTTGAAGCAGTACGTAGCGCTGTTGCTCACTATTCCGGTGCAGTCCAAAGCAAATTCTACGTCAAAGACAAACATGTTATGAGTCTATATGTTGTTATCCATTGATCCATCAAGAGGTGTTGGCTCGACTATTTGCCAACCCTCCACTCCGACCAAGGTGATCGAGGATACGAATGAGCGCAGGCAGCGTTTGGATGAGCTGGGCAGGAAGCGTAGCGGCCTGGCTTTGGTTTGTGTAACGAGCTGGGACAAGCAAAGCCAGTCGAAAGAAGCACTTTTGCTTCCAGGCCTTGTTTGATGTAATCTTTAATTTGTTGCAAAGAGGGAACAGGCATACGCTTTTGTGTTTCATCCTTTCCAAGTTTGCAACCCAGGAAAGATTGATCCTGCACCAGCAGAAACGACACTCGCACCAGAAGCGGTGCCCTTTGATGTGCCATCCAACCATGATGGAAAACTGGTTGGGCAGCTTCCAGGGAGCGCAGTTCACCAAGTTTTTCTTTGGAACTTCAGACCCTTTAACCTTTTTATGATTTTGCATTGTGTTTCCTTCCTTGTTTTTCCTTTATATATCGATCTTTGTATTATATTAATATGTGCTTTTTATTGCAACCAAGAGACTTTTTGGTCATGGCAAGATGGGCTGCCAGATTCTTGCAGGTTGCTCCTTTGGCTCCGGCTAAAGCAGCACCCAAGGCAGCTGTCAAAGCACGACTGCCAGAGGAGTCGTGGACGTCCACAGCAGTCCACGATTCAGCAACCGTAGAAACCCTGTGGGATCTAGAGTGAAAATCGGAGTGTTCAACTGATGTTTGTGGATAATTTTGCGTCCATGAGATTGAAAGCAAAAATGCTTTTGAGTTGTCAATGGCGTTCGCATGAATCCTTATCACAAAGGCCCCCCACCTATGTCAGGCGTTGCAGGCAGCTTGGGTGGGTTAGGATTGAATGATACCCCTGGGAATAAACCCTATAGAATGGGGGAGGTCGAGCTCCAAAATGACCTAGCATTTTATAGAGATTTTCTATAGAATCAAAAGTCAACCTACCTGGAAAAGATCCATTCTGAGGATATCTGAGGTGAGAGAATCATATGTTGATGGATCACTAGGTTGAGCACCTTCATTCTATAGAGAATATATGAAAATAGAGGGCATTTTATAGAGGACAGAGGTTTTGATTCTATAGAGGGAACCTGGAGCAGTAGAAGGTTGAGAGTTTATTTTAGCGTGGATGGATGTTTTACAGTGAGGTAGGTTGGATTCTCATTCTATAGAAAGCACTTGAATTTGTGGAGTCTTGAGTTTTGAGTTTATAGTCTCAGAACCTTCGAAAAGTAGAAGGTTGAGAGTTTATTTTAGAGTGGATGGATGTTTTACAGTGAGGTAGGTTGGATTCTGATTCTATAGAAAGCACTTGAATTTGTGGAGTTTTGATTTTTGAGTTTTGAGTTTATAGTCTCAACCAAGCTCTTTTCAAGCCAGACGTGGTAAATTACCTTTCAGGTGGGGAAAGACCCTGAGGAACGTTCTAGAAACCAATGCCACTTGGAGAGCTTCTTCCTTGGAATTGACAGAGACTGTTCAATGTGGCTTCTGGTAGTGGCCACCTGTGCCAGGCCCACAGCACCCAGGCCACTATAAAATGAAAAAAATCTTTTTTGGAGCCAGAGCTGGTCAAGCACCTTTCTGGTGGGGAAAGCCCCTGGGGAGCATTCTAGAATCCACTGCTACTTGGAGAACTTCTTCCTTGGAATTGACAGAAACTGTTCAATGTGGCTTCTTGTGGTGGTCCACAGCACCCAGGACCACTATAAAATGAAATCCTAACCTTGCAATGTTCAATCATGTTTCTATAAAATTGAATACCAACCTCTCTTGCCATTGCTGCCTAATTTTCCTCGAAAATGGTGTACTCAGCCTTGCAGTGTCCACCGACTTGTCTATAGAATGAAGACCGACCCTGGCTGTTTCCCCCACTTCTCTATAGAATGAAAACCAACCCTGGCTGTTTCAATTAGATAATTCAGATTTTGAGCCTACAATTCTGTTACATTAGTGCCTTCATGGTTGACCCCCTTTATTCTATAGAGAAACTATGCCGTACACTACAAGGGTTGACAGCTAGATTCTATAGTGGGGCACTTTGCTACCAGAGGTTGGTAGACCGATTTATCACTATAGAATGGCGTTCTCAACCCCCACGCGTTGTAGCAAGGGGTATATTGAATGTATTTAGCCAAAGTTCTGCCCCGCCGACCAATGAACATTTCAGGAGCTGGGCTTCAATGTTGGCTCCGGTGTGCGCAAGAAGGTGCGGACAGCCTGCCACATATGTCACATTGACCTACGTAGGTGCAAATGTGTTGATGGTGTTTAGCTGTCGCATGCTGTCGCATTTGCCAAGGAGCCCTTCGTACTGTAGCTTCTTGTTACTAGTAAGTATGCTCCTAGTAGCGATGCCAGGAGCCCCTAGTAGCGTCCTTGCTCCTAGTAGTAAGGCCAGGAGCCCCTAGTAGCAACAGTGAGTGGCTGCTAATTCACCTTCGGAGACGATGCTTCATTTCCGACCGCCTAATTTGGCTCAGTCTGTAGACACTATAGATACAATCAGCAGATACCTGCTTCAAACGATTACAAGTTGCAAGCGAACGTGCAGTTCTTCCAGGCAATGGTTTCCTTTGCTTAATCAAACGAGCTGACGCAAAACAGCATAAATTGTTGCGCTCTTGACATTTCTTGACAACCATAGACGACCAGCTATGATGATCGTGTAACCAAACGCATGTGGTGCTTGCCCATGGCGCGGGGCGAGCATGTCAACAGTGCGCCACGATATTGTTGGAGGCCTTTTGGGAGGATGAGAATCTGGCCATGATGTCCTATTCAAGGTCCTATTCCGTTTGGTTCCAACGTAATGCCCCGATTCCGACGTTTGCCCCCCCATGATGCTACGAGTTCGTACTGGTATTTGGTCCATCAGCTCGCACCATTCGCTTCACGGGAAGCTGGACCCACCTGGTTTCTCATCCGGGACAAGCTTCTCCGGGAGATGAAGTGAGGCTCCATTGAATACATTAATCCTGGATGTTCACCCCAAGAAGCACAAACCAGAGCCACTGCATGCCTTCCTTTGAAAGAATCTGTCGGGTAATCAATCACTCATTCCACGCTGCATGTTTGGCGGCTACAGTTGCGGCCTCGTGAGACCCTATGCCCTCGATTGCAGCAGGATTTCCCATCCATTGGTCAACATTTGGAAGCGCCCATATTCTCAACCAACAAAGACGTGCAGAGTAAAGGGCCCCTTAGTAAAGGGCGTGCATGGATACTTGCCGATTCGCACTCGGAAGGCGAACCGGGAGCTTGCTGCAGAGCACCTCGGTGAATCTGTGAGGGTGGGAGGTGGTAGGGGACAGAGCTCGAGGGACGTTTCTCATGCTTTGATAACTTGAGTGTGGGCAGCAAATAGGAGCGAGCTTGTGGCAACAGGTCGACAGTAGAGGCGAGGGCTCGACACTTACTCAGAGTTGATCTCACAGAGCTGTCCATGGATCTGTGGGCGATTGGACGTCGCGCAACTGGCGTTCCTGCGTGAGCAGTTCCATGATTTTGTCCGTTTGTAGCATGTCACCTGATAAGCGCATGACATGGGAATGTGCCGTGCGCATGTACAATACACAAGCACATGGGCGATTGCAAACATGGCTTTCCTATTATGTGTGTTGCCAATGATATGGGTATATCATTTAGGTATATCAATTCTTGACACAGATGTTTTGAAGCTTTTGCACGTCCTTGCGGGCCTTGCCTTGCAGCCTGTTACAACATGTAAGGATTGAATACTTCAGGAGTCCAACCTGTTATGTTACAAGTTCGTGTTGGTTTTTGCAGAGGAAACATGAGGAGCCATTGCCTGGTGATCTAAATGGATGTAAAGACGAGCTGGTACGACCATTTGCTGAGTTCCATGCAGACTGATCAATGTTACGTAAGTTACGCTAAACTTCAGGCAGCGCCTTGCCGCCTTGCTCGTTCCAAGTTTTCTCACTCTCGGGCTGATTCCCAGGCACTTCACAGACAGATGGGTCGGACGACGATGAAGCGGAGCAGGACTGTCCTGGCCTACCAGCATACCGTAGTCTGGCAGTGGTCATTTCTGCAGCCTGCCAAAAGTCCAAAAGACACCACTTCTGCACAAGAGAAACAGCTCTTGCCCCGTTTTGCAGGAGAGTCCACTCGTTCCATTGATGCAATCATCTCCATTTTCTTCGGAGATAGATGTGTCGGAGGATGGGGTTGAACAGGTCTCCGTGCCGGGGGAAAGGGTCTGATAGTGGTCTTCTGCAGCCTTCTAAAAGTTCCAAAGACTCTCCTGGACGAGAAACAGCTTCTGCCAAGCTTTGCAGGAGATTCAGCAGATGCAATCGTCTCCTGTTTATTCGGAGACGGATGTGTCGGAGGATGAAGTACAACAGGAGTGTCTCCGTGCTGAGGGGAAGGGCCTACCGGCCTACCGAAGACTGATAGCGGTCATTTCTGCATATTTCTGCAGCCTTCTAAAAGTAAAAATTATCCCGGCAAGAGACCCCAAACAGTGTGTGTGTGAGGTCTAGAGGTGTAGCAGCAGAAAATCTAGAGATCTAGACGCATTGAGGTCCAGAGAGGTGATGGTGGTGATGAAGGTGGAGATCGTGGTGATGGTGGTGAGGTGAGGTGAGGTGAGGT